ATGTATGATAGTAAATATGTAATTAGCTGCTTTGAGGTTTTGTTTTGTTTTTTTATTTTGACACGTCTTTTAAAAAACGTGTTTCAAGAGATTCATTCTATAGACTGAAGTTATGAACTGTTCTCATATCTTTCAGATTGGAATAATCGGGGGTTCAGGTCTTGATGATCCAGATATCTTGGAGGGAAGAACTGAGCGCTATGTTGAAACACCATATGGGAAGGTTAGTTGTATCTTGTGAAGTCGTGCTCCAGGTGAAGTAGTATAAATATTAGACTCTATTTGGGTTATGCCCTGTCTTACTTGTGAAATATTGTACTGCCTTGACAATGAAGTTTGTGTGTATATATAAATTATCCTGGTCCTCCTTTAAACAGCCATCAGATGCCCTGATATTGGGGAAAATAAAAAATGTGGACTGTGTTCTCCTAGCAAGGTAATGTGTTTTTTCTTTTTTCTTTTTTTTTTTTCCCCAATTGTGAAAATTTCCTCTCCTTTTTCTCCATCTAGTGGACAACTGTATTATTTGCACATACTAGTTATTTCATGTGTGTGTGGATAGATTTTTTTATTTTATTTATTTTTTTTAAATTACACGCATTAAATGTTGAATTGTGCTATTCATAGGCACGGGAGACAACACACCATAATGCCATCCAATGTCAACTATCGAGCTAACATTTGGGCCCTGAGAGAAGAAGGCTGTACACATCTGCTGGTTACCACTGCCTGTGGCTCTCTCCGGGAGGAGATCCAGCCAGGAGATATTGTCATCATAGATCAGTTCATTGACAGGTTAGTTCTGCGAGTCCATTAGTAGGTTAAGATTCAGACATACGTTTTCTGACACATCATGAAACTAGGTTATCTTTCAGGAAAAGTAGAGCATTAAGTGTAGGCGGTGTCCCGTTTTTGTAGGTGGAGTAAAAACCTGGTGATAATTCCTATGAACACTTCCTGTATAGAGTGTGGAGCTGATCAACAGTTCAGTACAGGGATGGCAAAAAAAGAATAGGGAAAATAGTTCTGATATTTT